GCCCGTCACGATCGAACTAGACCCCCAAATCCTCGAAGAATATGAATTTCATATTGAAGAGCCACTCAACAGTTCCAGTGACTCTTCAGACGACGGTCCAGCAAAGATCAAGACCATCGAACAACGGGCGACGGAAATTTTAAATAAATTTCCACTACAACATCTCGATATAAAACCACGACAACAAATCACCGACATTGTCCAAGACTTCACCGACATCTTTCACCTACCTGGCGACAAATTACGATGTTCTAATCGAGCAACCTGTAAGATTCCGACTATAAACCAGTCAACGTGAAACAATTTCGTTTCTCTAAACAACACCAGGACGAAATTCAACGGCAGATTGACAGCTTGATGGAACAGGGAATTATACGGAACTCTAAATCTCCATATAATTCCCCAGTATGGGTCGTCCCAAAGAAAGCAGACCCTAAAACAGGAGTCAAGAAATGGAGAATGGTAATCGACTTCAGAGATCTAAATAAAATTTCCATAGGAGACGCATATCCATTACCTTCTATAGTCGGGATTCTGGATCAACTAGGAGATGCTCTCTACTTCAGCGTCTTCGATCTTGCCAGTGGGTTTCATCAAATAGAAATGGACCCCGAAGACGCCCACAAAACTGCATTCTCCACTTCATTCGGACACTTCGAGTACGCCAGAATTCCCTTCGGACTAGAAGGAGCTCCGGCTACATTCCAAAGGATGATGAATTCAACTTTGAGCTGCTTACCATGGATATTAATCTATTTAGACGACATCATCCTTCACGCTCGTTCTCTAGAAGAACACGGAGTCCACCTCAGACGATTATTCCAAGTACTCCGAGATGCAGGGCTCATACTTCAACCAGACAAATGCAAATTTTTGTGCTCAGAAGTCGACTATCTCGGACATGTCATCTCTCGAGACGGAGTGAAACCTGATCCTAAGAAAATTCAAGCAATCCGAGACGCTCCGAATCCACGTAATCAACGAGAGATGAGAAAATTCCTCGGCCTGGCAAACTACTATCGCTGATTCATCGACAACTACGCCCTTCGAGCTAAACCGTTAACCGATTTAACTCGAAAAACGAAACCTTTTAAGTGGTCCGAAAAGGCCTAAAGGGCCATTTAAGACATCAAAAACGCCTTGTGCGGAAATTCAACTCTTTCATTCCCAGATCTCGACAAGCCCTTCATCTTAGCGGTTAGTTCCTCAGAAGAAGGCATAGGAGGTATCCTGAGCCAAGAATTAGACTCCACTGACTCAGCAGATAATTTAAATAAAAATGAAAAAATCGTAGCTTGCACATCCAGAGTCTTACGTGACGCAGAACTACGTTATACCCCAGACGAAAAAGAATGTCTCGCAGTTGTGTATACCATCCAGCAATTCCGGCCTTATTTATACGCTAAAAGGTTCACCGTTCAAACAAAAAGGGCCTGCGTAGCCTGGCTACGAGACACGCACGATCTCACAGACAGACAACGGAAATGGCGATCAAAAATCAACGAATTCCACTTCAAGATCGCTATCCGGACCAACGTCGGAGATCAATACGCAGATGCACTCTCATACAACCCAATAGGACGTCCAGAAGGAAAACAAGAGCTCCAAGAAAAGGAAGGAACGCCTAATGAGCCCTTTGGAATCACCAGTTAAGAAAACATACCAGAAGCCGTCTTGTTACCGGCAACAGGAGTTGAGAAAATCCCAGCAAATCCTCCAAAACGCCGCCGTGGACGACCTTTAGGTTCGAAAAATCGACCAGCTCTCAAGAGCGCTCCAGAGATTCGACAAACAATTGCCTCTCGATTACGGTCTGAACTAAGCAGAGGATCTCATAAAAATCCCACTAATTACATAGAACCCGCCACCTCCAGCAACGACGAGGAAGCCCAAGGGTTGGCTCAACATCACGTTGGAGATGACGATGTGTTCCACACTCCAGAACCTAGAGGGGCGGAAGCTGGTCCATCTCTGCCAGCTAGAAATTCAATTAGGGAACTAACTCCCTCGGCCTATTTTGACTCGTGACGATGGAGATGAAGAAGAAGAAGAGATCCCCGTAGCTCCACAACAACCAGAATCATCTGGAGAAATCACTGAATCATCCGGAGAAAATACTACCAACATTCAAAACACCATAAGAACGTTTGAAGAATTATCCGATGACCGAATCCACACCCCATGCCGACCTCCCTTATCACCAACAATCCCTAAAGGAAATCCCCGCTGGTGGAGACCAGTACCTGCTCAAATGGTAGAGTAGCCGAGATGTCTTCGGAAGGTTCTGGGTTCGAATCCCAGTCCGAGGTATCTAATAATTTTTTCTCACATATTCTATACACTCACATTAAGATGATCCTCTCCACAATCCTTTCTCAATCCTTTCCTACCAATTATCCTGTTACGTGAATGTTGGAACGCTTCACGTAATGAATTATCCGTAACTCCTATTCTTTCCCGCTTCACAGCATTATTTATATTTTTTAAAATATAAACTGCGCCAAGTCCTGACGTAATAAAAGATGTAAAAAGATCTATCGAAAATTTTCAACAAATAAGATCATTGGAGAAGACATTCAACGAAGAAGAACCCGGAGAAGCCAGCGAAGAAGCTGATATGACCATAAATGAGTTTATCTCGGAAGAAGCAAACGAGGACCGGGATAGTACCAGTGCCGTCAGTGAACCAGACGACACGGTGATCTTAATTCAACCTACAACAAAGAGCCCGGAAATTAATCAAGAAAAATCTCACACAGATGACTTCTCACCTAGAACCGACACCACTGATACCACCATCCAACTAGCTCCAGAAACATCAACTTTAGTTCGTACAATGATAGAAAATTTTGAATCACAGGGCATCAAGTGGGATCCAGAGTCAAGATCAATAATCGACACTAGCGTTCACCAAGGGTCAACCCCGTATAGACCCATACCAGATCAATCTGTCATCACTCAGATGAGGACCAGACTATCGGAACTACCTACAATAAATACCACAGACTCACCTGGCGCAAGTTCCAGCCGGTCCTTAGACTTCGGTTCTCCTGTAGCAACTACTTCTACAGCGCCCGAGAACACAGAAAAATCAACGAAGAGAGTCTCTTTCCTGGAACCTATACCCCAAACCCCGGGTATAACCGATAGTCCACCTAAGTCTCCGGAGTTCTCTAACAAGGAAGAAGACGCGACTTCTCGAGAAACATCCGTAACCCCAACTGCTCAACAAAATCCAGAAATTGCAACTCCACCGGCAAACAATAACTCTCCCACGCCAATATGGCCTCACGGCCCCGAGAGAAAAGCAACAATCATCATAGAACCTCTAGAAACATCCTCCGATAAGAAAATAGTCCCAAATAATGACCAGCCTCTAAACAAAAACCTAGAGGGGGGGGATGGAAAAATCAATAAACCCGGAAGAATCAGTGTCGGATAGACCTGACGAACTAAGAGTAGTGGAACTATTAAATAGCCGAGATGGACTCACTTACGCTCGAGATAACATCGCTCACTTTATCACTACAGACTGCGAACTAGCCACTCCAACAGCAAAATTACTCCGTGAGCTCAAATTCATCGATGTTGACGACCTGAAACAGGCCAAGCCACGTAAAGAAGACGTTCTGGTGACAAAAATTGGCAAATATCGGGTTTTCTCTATCTTTGTCGGAGAATATCATCGGACTAAAATATCCAGTGATGATTTAATAAACGGCCTCTAAAGCTTTCGTCTCGCATTAGAATGATACGAAATTCACTCCCTAAGAATGGCTTAAAAGGGAGATGGATTCAGTTCCATAAATATACAACAACACCTGCTGAGAGAACTACGAGATTGCCCCGTACAAATAACACTCTGTGATGGAGAAATCTCTGTACCAGACGAAGAACTACGACCCGAAATTATCAAAGAAAAACACGCAAGCCTGATCGGAGGACATAAAGGAGTCCTCAAGACTTATTGGAGAGTAAGAGAAAATTTCTAGTGGCCAGGAATGAAAGAACAGATTTATCAATACATCCTGAGATGCGACACTTGTCAACAGAAGAAATTATCCAGAATAAAAACTAAACAACCCATGGTAATCACCGATACACCGTCCGACGCTTTCGAAAAAATCTCAATCGACACCGTAGGGCCACTACCTATGAACGCAAAAGGCAACGTACATATCCTCACTATACAGGATAATTTTACAAAACATTGCGCAGCTATAGCAATACCGGATGTCAGGACCCAAACGATTGCAGAGGCCCTGATCAATCAATATATTTGCCTATACGGATGCCCGAGAACGATCTTGTCGGATAGAGGAACATCATTCACCTCAAAACTCTTAGCAAAAATGTCAGAAATATTAAAAATAAGAAGAGTAACAACTTCGGGATACTATCCTCAAGCTAGCGGATCACTGGAGAGAAGCCATCAAACTCTTGCCGAATATCTCAGAGTGTTTGTCGAATCCTCAGACTGGGACGAATACTTACCCATGGCCATGTTTAACTATAACAGCTCGGTCCATAGTGGGACAAAATTCACGCCTCATGAGTTAGTTTTCGGTAAAAAGGCTCGCGCTCCAACCGAGTTCCCCGATTATGAAAAAATCGAAACATATCCCGATTGCCTGATTGACCTAATGAATCGATTAAGTCACACTCGGAGCGTCGCTCGCGATTTACTTGTCAAATCAAAATTAAGATCTAAAGAAAGATTCGATAAGAATTTACACCCAATAGATTTTCAAGTAGGAGATTTCGCTTACAATTTGAACGAAACTCGGAAAAATAAACTCGATGCCTACTGTAAAGGTCCTTTTGAGATCGTAGAAATTACCGATAAGGGCTGTCTGATATTAGAACTTCCCAATGGAAAACGCATAATCAAACATCTCAGCAAACTGAAAAGAGCTATTGAATAAAATAGACACACTCCTGTTACAAACGATCTCGTCCACACCGAGTAACACGATACAAAAAAAAATAATATAAGAAACATGCGACTACTCCAAGTCAACATATGCTGCCTACTCATCATCCTTGTAGAATCAGGTCAAGACGCTCTAATAATTCAACCGGCTTCATCCAACCCAGGGATCCTATATGAAAAATACAAAACTATCCATCTAATAGAACGAGAATGGAAAATAGTCTCTACTATAGACGTCGGAACCATCATCAATATATCTCCTTGGCAAGAGATGTCATCACACGGCGATAAGGAAAGCCGCCAAACTTGTCTATCATACTTCTCTCCCCCGGAGTGCGCAATCCTGGGAAAAGAAGCTATATTAAAAGACGTAGAAATAGACAGAGAGGATGTAATCAATCGATTAAATCAAAATCTAAAACAAGCAGACAATACTACATCAACTAAAATCCAAAACCGAAGGACGCCCTGGTTTGAATTCGTAGGATCCATAGCTCGAAAAGCCTTTGGACTTATGGATTACGACGACCACGAACACATTTCTCATGAAATAGACAAATTATACAATGACCAACGAGAGATAACAACACTCGTAAACAACTCAACGCATATAATAAACTCAGAAATAAACAAAATCATCTCCGATCAAAACAACACTAAGGCCAGAGTCACCCTGCTATCCAACACAATCAATAGTTACGCCACCAAGGTCGGGAACGAGATCGAGAAAATGAAACTACGTCTACATTTTATGCAAAGAGCCGACGAAAGAGTACAAAGAACGTCGAGTCTATTACGCTACCTCAAGGAAGTTGAGTCAGCGATAGAAGACGCTAAGAGAGGGGTCGTCCCAGGAGGAATTCTTTCACCAGATCAACTGAGAAATCCAACCAGAGATATTACAATACGTTTTCCCCACCTAAATCCACCTCAACGAGTGGACCACGTAAATCTCTAGATCCTATCCAACATCGCAAAGGTGAACACAGAAAGAAAAGATAATAAATTCCTAATAATAATCACCCTACCGTTGTTGAACCAAATCACATTCCAATTCTATCAAATAAGACCTATACCTGTCCCTCAAACAATCGGAGGAGCCATGAGGAGCCTGCTGATCCGGCCAAGTAAGGACTATCTCGCAATAGACGCCTTACAAGATCAATACTTTTTAGCGGACACGGAACCATCAAAAATTGCAAAACAATTTCAACAGACATAGCCTGTGAAATTAACGTCCCCCTCAAATCAATAAAAGACAACATAGAGTGCGAACTACAGCTCTATTTAAAGCCAAACAACGAGATAATGAAACAATGCGATGTCCGAATATTACCTAAATGTTCAACACAACTAATAAAATTACATCAATCGAATTCCTGGGCTTATTCCACCTGTAAGCCAGAAAACTTTATAACAACATGCGACTCAAAAATACGCATCGAACACCAGATCCATGGCTCGGGTACCTTCACCTTATCCCCCGGCTACGTCCTAACAAATAATCATCTTGTAATCAAGGGGACCGAAGAAGAAACAGACACAATCGGTATCTTCGCCTTCCCCACCATAAACTTAACACATCTGGTGACAAACCTCACCGAAAAACCAAAACCACGTTATCTGCTGACAAACATCGCCGAAGAACCAGTAGGGGAAAATACCCTACTCTCTCCATGGGGCGACAGCCTCGAAGGTAACGAGAACAGACTCACGAGAATTGGACTTCACCATCAAGAAAAATCAAAGCATCGGTACATCACAATCGCAAACACAGGCGCAGTGCTTTCAATTATAACATCCCTCGCACTTTTCTTTGGATATTATTACTACGGTTATTGTTGCAACTGCCTCAAACCTCTGCAAAACAGAGGTGACACCAACAGAAAATGACACCATCAACGCCATCCCGGACCGGCATTCGACTCGCCAACTACGACTACAACTAAAATGAATAAAAATTAAAACAAGACAGAAAATATCTCTGTAAAAATTACATTAATATCTATATATTCTTCATTTTTTTTTAAATATTATTAAATAAACATTAGAATTATGCACATACATTTTACCTATATATTTTATTCCCGAGAGAGAAAGAAAAAGGGAGAATCGAGGACAATAAAAATTAAAAGAATATTAATTTCAAAATTTTTTTTCTGTTCTCTTTTTCAATTATTTTTAAAATTTTCTCCTTTCTTCTTTCCCTCTATAATACAAATTTTGTGTAATAAGTAGCAACCTGCAATATAGAACGCAGCAAATTAAACATAATATTTCTGTTTTAAATTAGTACTAAGTAAGTCATCTGTCGGCGGTTGAATTATTAAAAGATCCAACACACAAATCAATAAGAGCTCTGTTTTAACCGCGGCAAACTAATAACCATAAGTAGACGAATGGTAATAAGTAACGGCAACCAAATCAGTAGACTTCATTATCATCTATTGATTAAGAAAACGAGCGCGTAACTTCAAACCACGCCTACCTACTTACACAACACTTACTAATCTCTCGCTCTTCGTTCAACAGTAACCAAAGGCCTAATTCTATTAATATCAAACGACACAAAAAATTTTTTTAAATAGTATCAGAATACTACTAACAATAAATATAAACAAAAAAAAATATATATTAATCAAAAATTAAATTAAACTATTTAAAAGTGAATTCAACTAAATATGAATTAAGCTATAAAAATTGAACTATTTAAATTAAATTCTAATTTAGGAAAACGGAAAAAGATAAACTAACAACAATTCCATTTTGTTTGCTGATTTATTGAAAATTTTTTGTCTCTCCATCTTCAATTTCTTTACTATATATTCATTTTTTTTTTTTTTTAGCAGCGTTATCTTAACCGATCCCCTCCCAGCATTACTCGGAACTTGGTTCCCCACCCGTCAAGCTGTCGAAGAGGCCTTGAAAATGGGAGTCGGTCAGCGAAATTTGACAACCTACAAAATTGGATAAATAAATTTCTCTTCTCAAACAAAGTTCAAAAAAAAAATATTAAACTTACTGCTACAAACATATCCCGTTAAAGATAAACTCCATCAGTGCAACACGCAATGTTTGCACCTCAAAGTAATGCGGAGCAATAAATCGCAGTTCGATTTAGGGATACTCCAACCCCAATCGAAAGAAGTAGGTAGCGATCTTGGACACTTCCGGACCAGCAGGTCCGGAGATGCTCATCCATTCGCTTACTAATGCCAAGGCCTCGTTCGGGGTGAGCGGTCCCTGAAGTTCCCGTAATAACTGAACTACCCGCCGTAAGTCCTAAAACAAGAGAATAATAATAATAATAATAATAATAATAATAATAATAATAATAATAATAATAATAATAATAATAATAATAATACCGTCAGAACTTAAGGACTCTGCAAGCTTTGATGATGGAAAATATCACCAAGGATATTTTTTACGCCGTCTATAGAGCTTTTTCCCTCAGCATTGTTAAATGGAGTTTTCTTCTTCTTTGCGCCGTTCTCTTTCTCTTTCCCCGTCTTGTTGTTGTCTTCTAGATTTTGCGGTAACTTAACATTACCATTAGTATCAACCTCCAAGAATTCTAGCTATTCTTTATCTTCTAATAATAAGACATACGTAAGAAACAAGTGAAAAGTAATGACAGAGAAAAATTAATAAATAAATTATAGTAAACAGAATTTTGAAAATAAAATCTACGAACGCTATGTGATTCGGAAAGTGAAAAAAAAAGAAGACAACAAAAAAACATAAATAGAAAATAAGTCGAAGCAATTATTTTTAAGTATTATTCAAAACAAAAAATTATAAAAAAAAATAATTTTTCAATTATCTGCCTTACATTGGTCGGAAAAAAAATAATCACGCGTTGATAATTAATTAACTTACCGCTTGTGCGTAGGATTTGTAATGAATTGTCACAGGGTTTTTATTCCCTGTGTGCGTCCCTCCCTGCGCCTAAATTTGGCAACAGATCCACACGCGGTGTGTCTCTGAATTTTATTATTTTGTATTTATTTATTAATTTATTTATTGAATTTATAACTATTGTTATTATTACTATTATTATTTATATTTGAAATTTCTGATATTATTTTTATTTATTTGAGAATTAATTTTACTTTGAGCCCAAGAGCCCAAGACGGCCAGACCTTCATTATTTTATAAAAGTTGAAAATTTCTCTGTATATGTCTCCTATACAGGTAAGAACGACCAGCGACTAAAGAGTTTGGGTTGTGGTTACCTGGGCAGGTAACAGGTAGTAAAGGTGTATAAAATAGTACTTCATATTTGTTAGAGTATAAAGCTCAATTTTTTTATATTTTCTTCGAGATAACTTTAGAAATCTCGTCATCCATTGCTGGACACTAATGACAGTTGCTACCCCCTGCCAGACACCCTTAAACTTTAATAAATTGTAATTGTACTTTCGTTATAGTATAAAACATAAATTTTATATATGTTACTTGGGGACCTATAAAAAGATATTACCTCAATAGCTGGACAGTTTCCATGGTTTTTACATCTTGCCAGACACATCAAAATTTCACTTTAGGTTCGTGCGCGAATGCTTAGTCGATTACTATTTTTTTAAATATCTAATAAAAAAATTATTTTATTATGTTCATAGCCATGTTGTATGAAGAAAAAATGTTAGTTTGATATCATAAAAACATGAATAAAAAAGTATGATTACAGGTAAAAAAAAAAATTAAAATTTTTTATTAATTTAATATATATATATATATATATATATATATATATATATATATATATATATATATACATACAAACGTTGAGACAATGCAAATTGTCCACCTGATCAGCTGCGCGACATACCCTTGAAAATTGTATTTGTCTATAATCGAACTCGGTCGATATTTGGGGGCCGTAAGAGGAAAGTAGGGGAAAAACCGAATACTCGACGGACAGGAGCATCGACCGGTACTTCGACCTCGTCAGTCAAAGAGCACAGAACACAATTTCGTTATTAATGTTCTACATTAATACTACAAATACTAGGTATTCACTACCGATAAAATTGTAGCACTAGTTGATCAGTTATTATTTATAATTATTCTCATTGCTGGTTCATAACCAAGTTTATTATTATTAATGTAATTATTGTTATCAGTATTTTCTATTTGAATTGTTTAAATATAGTCATTAATTAAATAAATCAGTGTATACTAGTGTAAGTTATTTTATAACAACCACCTGCCACCTCGAACGAGCAAACACGAGGCCATCCAAGGTTATCAAAGCATTGCTGGAATTTATGGAAGTAAATGAAAATTTGAGTCTGAGCTTTTTCGCGGGACTTCACATGAATAATAAGAAGAATTTTCGTAAACGCTCCGTTACCGCTGGTTATATTCTCAGAAATTTAGCGGATAAATTTCCTACACGGCGTTTCCTCATTATTATAAGAAAACTTATTAGGTCTTTAGCAAATCCGCAAGGCTGAGAGGCTTAATGAGGAATTTTAATTGTTGGTAGAGATTAAAATTTCATTTCAATGGCGCTCGAACAGGGACGCCGTGTTCGAGGAACCTATCCCGGTGACAGAAAGTTCTGTTAAAAACTTTTCTGAAACTAAAATTTCAAAAATAATCACTTTGAAAATTTTGATTGAAAAATCAATTTTCCAATATTAAAAATTTTATAAAATCCTTACGGTTAAAAAGACTTATACAAAATAAGTATTGTAAAATTTAATTCTAAAATTGTTAAATTTTAATTGAAAAATTATAAATATCCAAAAACTTTGTCTCATAATAATTTAGTTAAAATATTGTAAAATTCATGACTCATGAATTTTACAATATTTTAACTAAATATTCATGAATCATGAGTAATAGTTTTATAAATTACTAGATTATCTCTTTCGTGTAAGAGCTCAGACATTATTCACTAAATAAGTTTAGCATTGTACAAAAATATAAAATCAGTTACATTGTAACCTTGAAATTAATATAGTATTTTAGTCTCCGAGAGACAAGGGATTAAGGAATTTATGGGGTGATGTCATGCTCTTAGCTAGGTCTGTCATTCTAGTATTTATTAAAATTAATACTAAAGTATATTCTCAGTAAAAGATATGAACATTAGCAAAATTTTGGTAACATATTAAAACAAAAGGTTATAATTTAATCCCAGTAAAGCCTCAGTATAATGAATAAAACAATATTAAAGCTTTGATTAAATAGTAAGACAAAATAATCTTTGAGCTTAATGTTTCCTCGTACTCCTATAAATCGGTTCTCCGTACCCGTGACAACTGAGCCAAGACAATCCACCTCACAAACAAATGACATCCCGCCGCTTTCTCATCAAACGGAAGGTTTATCAAATATATCCACTTCGGTAAATGCAATTCTAAACAGCACTACCCACACGGCAACGGACGGTCTAGATAGCTCAGTAAACAACGTAAGTGGGATACAAAATCTCAATGACGCAGAAATTTCAAATTAACCGGCACAGACCTTACAGAATGTTGTTCATCAGCTACGAATGGAAGTAGTGGCCTTAAGATCGGCTCAACAAAGCCTTCGCACCTCGGTAACATCTACGGTGACGCAGTCTACACACATGTCTATGACAGACGCTACATATACTAATACTCACATACATAATACACACATGTCAACCTTACAGCCACGAGAGCGATTCCCTAACACGATATTACCATCAACGATATACGGACAGGTGCACTCCTCCTATCAATATGTGCCTGTATATCCATTAGGGTGTTTCATTTTTGAGCAACTTTTTTTTTCAACAAAAAAACAGGCTAAATACTTTCAGGAAGGTGTAAAAAGAAGCCCTTTAAAATTTGAGCTCTTAATATTAACATTAAGTGGTGCCTGTTTCTAACTTTCAGTTTCCATTTAAA